CGCTCAAGAAGCAAGCTTCAAGTGCATGATATTCAATTTACGCTTACATTTAAATAGGTCTTCTTCTTTACTTCTAGCTAAGTGCTTTCTCTATTTTCTTCAAATTAAGCAATTGCTTCCCCTATGAACTAAGTGAAATAAAGCTTTGTTACAATATTGTACGTTCCTGATTGCAAGTTCTGCTACTTCTTCTCCATTTGCAACTTTTTTGCCCTGTATCTTCATAAAATGAGTTGGAGTGACATTCAAAATCTCCAAATTCAGTTGAATTGTCAGTATTTTAGAGAATTATTACCTTTTAAGGCAAAACAAATGGAAGCACAAACAGGACTAACCAGTGTCAGCAGTCAATGTTCCTGAGTCGAGGGCACACGTTCGGATTATCATCGTTTTTGATGTGTTTTCAGCTGCAATTGAAGAAATTGTCACCGCAGCTATAAAGAAAGCAAAACTTACCTCTATGTCCGATGATTTTAATACAGTGATCGGCCGGAAAAAGGCCTTGTCGGCCTTTCTTAAATGCCCAGCACGGGTGGTGGTAGTTTGTAACCGAAGCAGCTTCTCGCTGCTGAACAGCACATGTAACATGACCCAAATTTTTTTTTTGCAGTAGAAGTTGAATGGTAGTGATGTAAAGATCGTATAGATGAGATTCAAACCAAAAAGCGTTTACTTCTAGATCTAATTTGATATGACATGGATTAAGAGCATTGTAAAATTATTGATATATAGTAGGGTAAAATCAATTATCCCCGCGATATGTTTCACAAAAGCTGCAGAAGGATAGCGGAATTATGGGGTACCCTAAAGACAAGCACGTCTGCTTCAGCCACAATTGCAAACTGACTAAACAAATTTCTTTGGACAGTCAAGCGCTAGAAATAAAATTTCTTCTTTCGAAAATCTTAGCCTGCAGGGAAATGTGCGGTAATTTAAAAGATGCTTTTATCGCAGATAAAGTAACGATAGATAAAACTGAAGATTATGCTTTAGAGAAAATACTAAGATAGAGGGGAGGGGGGAGGAGGGAGGGAAGAAACCCGTAAAACCAAAGTATTGTCGTCTGGCTAAGTCTAGTCTTAGGACAAAACTTAGCAAATTCTGGCAAGGCAGTGTTACAGAAAGATTTTCCACAAAACAGCATTTGAAGGAAAAGGGCCCTGCTCATCGGACCGCGTCTCCGGTCCAGAACAGTGTTGAAGATGTTATAAGGGAAGAACAACCTTTTACTTGTGAGATTCTTAGTGCTTTGCACTTGCATTGCAAATGTTAAAATGGGTGAGTCCCTGGCATTTTGATACATTCTTTTTGAT